GCTCTTTTAAACTTCTTGCCTAGACGACGAATGTTATCAGTTTCGTTTCACTATCCTTGTTTGCGAGTAACATTTGCGAAAATGGAATAACTATGGATACTATTCACTCATGTTTCCAGCAAGTATATAGATTCCGCTTGAATAACAAGTAATGCAGCCAGATGGAATTCAGCACAATTGTGGAGATTCTTTTGACTTAGCGGATCCGTTTTCAGCAGTACTACAAAGAGACAATAGAGTTTTCGTTCGATGGACGGAACGAATGCAAGAGTTTCTGGAAGAAATGTGTTGAACATCATGCGTTCTTCCGATGCATCGAAGTGAACCCACCGAAGAAATCGAAAGAAGCACGTCTTTTCAGCAAGGGATCTTCGTTCAGGCAATTTTGCGTTCTTCGTTATGTGTTGTGATAGCTGCTTGATTGATTTCAATAATTTCTCATTATTTGAGCTCTAGTGCAATCACAGTCGTCTCGACTCGATAATTAAATTCATACAATTTGAAGGTACCATGGAAGGACACAAAAACAGTTGATCGACTATGTTCGTGAACATCATAAACGACGGGAGCCTTTCACTAGGTTAGTGAAGCACCCCTTTGGATTTTCGACCTCTCTAGGTTTTTTGTTCACTCTACCAGCACTAATCTCGACTGGTTTATCTTCATTTCTTTGGCCGAGTTAATCACTGAAATTGTTTCCTGAACAAAGTTAATCAGTGGAGATATTCACACTAATATGGCAAAGCGTTATTATCGATTATGCGTTTTTTCTTTTTTTTTTTGAAATCAAAAACATTTTTCTCCAATCTGAAGTTGCATTTAATCAACTAATTCATTTTAGGCCAATAAGACCTGGCCTTTCGTCGCGTTGTGATCGCCTCTCACGTCCGGCACAGTTCAACTTGACTCCGAATTATTCGACCGTCAGTGATCGTGCGATCAACATTGTCAGTGGTATGCCATGCTCATCATCCTCTCAACAACCACGACGTCAAAATGGTTCCGCGTCAAGTCGATTCACTAGCGGTTCGATGCCTCATATCAATGGTGCCAGCCAACGTGTCTCGGATGAAGCAGGTAGTAGTAGTATGGCTGGCGATGGTGTGGCCATAGGTCGAAGTTCGAGAAGTGGCTCCAGTGGGCCGGGAAGCGTTTCTAGAGCTGTAAACATTCCGACAAGCGCCGTTCAGTCCTCCTCAACCTACTATCAATACGGTGATCCATACTCGTATTCATCGGTTCCTCGACCACAGCGGCATCACCATCACATGCATCATGCGCAAAGTGCTCATCACCCGAGTGGTGCCATGTCCGATGGTGAACGCATGTGCTCGAGCGATGTTGATACGAGTATATCATCTGGCATACACCCGAGTTCTTCAGCATCTCGGCATACATCTAATAACTTACAACACGCCTACATTACAAAACCTTTACAAGCCAAGCAATACAAAGCTCTAGCAGATTCGCATATAAGTAGTATAAGTAATCTAGCCGTCAGTGATAGTGAGGCCATTGTAACTTCTTCAGCGTCGTCACAATATAGGAACCGTCATAATCATGCATATGCAACTAGTACCACAGCCGCTTCTAGTAGTGTTGCTGCTAGCACATATACTGCTTCTGGTGTTGGTGCGCAAAATGTTGTTGGTGGTGGGAATGCCGCTAATGGTAGTAACAATGTTGAGTCGTTGATGTCTTTGTCACTTCCGAACGTGCTTGGCGCCGATGTACAGCTTGTCTGTAAGGAGTTCGAGTTGAAATGTGAATGTCCACCTAAATCAGCGAGCGGTGATAATTTCTTGGAGATGCAGCAACGTCCTCGAGAATATGACAATATCAGCGAGGAGTCCTATCGGCTGTCAGATCATGAGCAGAGGCATCCGACGGCATCTTCATCACAGCCATCCGAAGTGATCGGTCAAACACCTTCTGTTTATGCGACAACTTTTACGACGAAACGCGTTGGAAATGTTATCGTCAAACGTATCGTCAGCAGCGCACACGGCAGTCGTTCAACGCCAAACACAACCGACGATGAAGATTTGAGTGCGTCAAAAGATCACTCTTCAAAATCCCTCGCACAAGATCCTTATCGGCAACAGCAACAACGTTATCATATGAAACGTGATTTATCTGAAGGACCTATGCCAACGTATTCCAGTTCAGCTCAAGACGCCCGTTACGTAGATCAAAACTACTACCAGAATATCGGCGTATATCCGTCGTCGTACCCAAGTGAAACAAGTTCGGATGTCAATGTCCGCCGGAGGATTCAAGCCACTGAGAAACGCATTCAGCAATCGTCTTCGTCAGCACCGTCGTCTTCGGTAGAATATCCGATACACAAAAAGTTGGTTCCAGTTGAAATCGACGGTCCCAATGTTAACTTGGAGAGCTATTATAGGCGACGAGAAGAGGAGAATGCAAAAGAGAGAAGGACACCGAGTTTGCTGGAATCACAAGGAACGCAGCCTGGAAAAACTACCGAAACAAGCACATTTCGGAGTCCAGCTCAACCTATGGAATCTCTAGCGGCGACGTCTTCAGTAGCTTCAGCCCGTTCTGAGTCAAAGGAAGTGCCGATGGCTGCAGTCTCAGCTCAGGTTCGTCAGGCTCCGGTTATCTATACATCAAAAGGTGCTGTTTTGCAGAAGCCTAAAGTGATCCCTGATTCTGATACATATCGAATGGACGAAAGGCATATCTACGGTCAGCTGAAATACCCCTCGCAGCAGCAACAGCCCCAAACATCCGCCGATCAGTCCTCTGCATACGGTGAAACAGGCTTCGTTCATGGACAGTCGCAAGCATCTGTACCTACTGCTCCCAAAACCTATGGTGCTATCGGTCCCCTACCTGGAAAGGTGATAACTAAAGAGAATCTCGTCGTTACACCAGAGGGATTGCGTGAAAAGAAACCGAAGCCGGTTGTTCCACCCAAACCCAAGAATCTTATGAGTCCAATGGGAACGTCACTATCTGAGTCCTCAATAACCCCGTCCACATCGGGTACGTTAGCTCCGTTAAAACAATCCGCACATCCGGTTGTGAATCTGCAACAAGGTGAAATGGAAAGTGCTCAAAAAACCTCATCTTTAAAAGCTGAAGAATCCAAGCCCCTACAACGACCAATGCTGATTTCTGTGCAAAGTGAAGATCGTCCTGACATCCAAAAATGTCACTTGTTTAACGGCGATATTCCATATGTGCTCACGGTGCGAGATATCTCACGCGACCGTGCAGGAACCCCAGAATCCAGCTTCTCCACCTTCAAGGGTCCATCTGCCTCTCGGACATTGCCTGATGCAGGGGTTGCGGCTGGTACAAGCAGTGAGTCCGAAACTTTACTCCGGAATCGAACCAAGTCACGAAGTCCTGAATCGCTGAAGCGACGGAAATCATTGGATTTAGTACCTCGTAAACGTTTACCGTCACCAGGGAATTTCTCATCGCAAGATCATTCCATTTCACCAACCACTCCAGAATCTGGTGACATCTTGGAGTATTTGTTGAGGCGGCGATCGGCTAGCACTGAACGTTCAGCATTGGTCAAACGTGGTCGTCGTGGTGATCCTCGTCGGCAAACGCAGCCAGTCCGATTCAATCTGCCGCCCAGTCCTGAAATTGAGCATCCAAAAGTTGTAACCTTTTCATCCGAACCGAATCTGCAAAACGATCAAGTCGAAGAGCCTGATCCGACCATATGTGACAGCCTTAGTCTCCAAGACGAAGCCGCCGCTGTGAGTGAAAGTAATGAGCATCTATCGCTAAATCGCAGCATGAGTAACATCGAAACATCAACTGCGTTCGGGGCAGATGACGAAATGACTAGGACTGATCAACGCCAAAAGGGCTCGAGTGAACCGCCGATGCTCGTAGCGGCATCTGTTCCCATCGTTCCACCGGAACCCATTTCGAAACGTGAAGACGCAAACTCTGTTGACGATTATTTGCCACCGCCTCCACCCCCTCCTCCTCCACTTGTCCCAATGCTATTCGGTGATCCGATTCTGAGCGAACCGATGCCTGCACCACCAGCTAATGCGTCGCCCGCGACAGCAACAACCACAGTGACCACTACTACTTCTGTGACAGCTATCATTCCAAGTGAGTCCATCACTGATCCGTTGTTGTTCGCTGACGACACGAACTCATCAAGGACATCGTATGCTTCAAGAGAGGATTCGTTGGATCAGAATAATAAAGATAAGTCAGAAATACAACCATCCTCACAACAGCAGCTTCCAAAAGAATCCGAGCAATCTCAGCTACAACAAACGTCAACATCTTCTGGCTCTTCGACACTGCGCACTCCAACCGGTGTTCTTTGGACGGATTTCTGAAGGCTTATCAGTGAAACAGTCAATATTGCTGACCACAGTATGGGTAAAGGACTGACTGATTATAGGACTATATGATCCCTATTGATCAGTCGGCGTTTAATTCCTCAGCGATCATCTGAAGCTGTCTCTAAAGAAAAACTCATAGAAGTGGATGCATGAGTATAACGAGAACGAAGAACCCGTACAGATGATGGAGATAAAACAAAAAGAAACTGTGATTCGTTTGCTCTGAACTTTTCAGCTATTCATATCGTTTTGTTCTCGTTGTTTCGTGTTTGATTTTTCATCTATTTCGCATTTGATTATTTTCATCTTGCTATTTCGCTTTGATGTTCATGTTTTGTCGTTATTGTTGTCATCGTTTGCCTCAATTGATTTTGCCAAACTCTCGTTGCTCGCCATACATTTTATTCTGTTCTCTTCCTTATCAGCTTCATGAGCATGCACTCAGTCTTCACAGTTACCCGATGAATGTATACTTCATAGTCAGCAATTGCTTAGTGAAGCGATACTTTTCGAGCAAAAATCTTTGTCATTCCCTGAGAAATGGTCTCGTTGCGACGGGGTTTTCCTTGAGGCTTAGGCAAGTCACTAATCGCATTGAGTGGGGTGTAGGGAAACCATGGAAGAGGTGGAAATGTACTGTTATGATTCATTATCGAACAACAGATTCACAGTTACTTCGTACTTTCCTTCACCACCATCAGAAACGTTTTCCTAGCTGTTCAATTAATTGATATTAATAGGTGGATTTTTGATGTGATATTGTTTCATAGAAAGGACAATTTTGATGCTCCTAAACGTTTCACTGTTCAACTTTCATCTTAAATGATTGCAATTTTGTTAGTAGTATCAATGTTGCTGTGCCACTTGCATTGCAGTCCTTATTTTTGTCACTCCTTGCACAAATAAAGTCAAGGAACGGTGCCCATGAATCATTGGTTTCCGAGGAATGGTGAAGAAATTTTTAGGAGGAGAAATTATCCGAGAAGTGAAAACAATTAGCGACCAAGGCGCTTATGCATGTTTTGGATTGCATTGGCGTCCGAAAGCTTGGGCTATTGTGACAGCCATTCACGCTTCAGATGCCTCGGATTTTGCTGGTTTCATAGCAATAATACACATTTTACCTTTATACTAACACCGTACTTGTGCATGAGTAAGTTCGCATTCAAAATTTGGGTAGTTTCTCACTGGAGTGCAACACTTTTACTGCTTTGTATGCGATGGAAAGTCGTGTGATGTTTACCCTCATTCCTGGAATGATTTTTATATTATGCATCATTGTAACATTGTTCACCGCAGTAATGTCTCTATGCCGTGCACGTTGCATGCAATTCGACTATGGCTGCAATTCATGTACAGTTATTTTTCCATTTGACAT